CTACCAGCGGGCCCGCGGGACGCCCCGGGTTGAGGGGGGAGGTGAGGGGGGGACTGGCTCAGAGGGGAAACATGACCTGGAATCGCGGCGATGCATCGCCGATGGATCGGCGATGTCCCTCCGATAGAGACATCACAAGCTGATGGGCAGAGGTGGGCCATCACGCCTCCATCGGCGATCCCCTTGAACCTCTCCCGCCCAGTGTTGCTTCTGACCGTAGCTCGTGCGGCCTGTCCTGTCACCCTGTCGAGCAAGGGCCCCAGAAGGCGCGGTGACCACACCGTGTACCGTGAGGTGAGTCAGTGAAGATTCGGGGTGACTGCACTGTTTTGGGACGTCTCGGGCGACTGGGGCCTCCAGGGTCCCGGTGACGGACTGTGCGGTGGTGTCTTTGGGGATTTCGAGGTCACCGGACGGTCTGTCGCCATCTAGTGTCATCCCCGTGTCCTTCGGAAGCGTACTGGGTTGCCTCTTCGTCGAGGGCGTAAAAAACGCCCCTACCCTGGTTTACGAGGCGCTGTGCGCTGAAACTCCTGTTGGCTCACAGGGTAAACCCTGCGTGATGTGCCGCGTCCTGGCGGCTCTAGGCTTTGGGGGTTCCCAGGAGGTTTACAGACCACGTACTTGTAATCCAGGGTAGGGTCGTTTTTTCATCCCTCAACTTCGGGCATCTTTTTGTCGCCGCTGGAGCTGCACGCGAGCCCGGCACGCGCGGCCGACGTTTCTCGGATCGCCGCATCTGTGTCCTCAAGGCCTCGAGTCCACCTCTTCCTCCTCCTCCTCCTCCTCCCTCCTTCTCCTTTCTGTTCTCTGCGGTCGTCTCCGCCTCCGCTCTGTCCGAATCGTGGGGGATCAGCCTCCACCTGCCAGTTCCCTGTGCTTCTGGACCGATGTGAGGGCCCTGTGACCTGGAATGCCAGTCGGCTTCGGTCTACGACCCTTAGAAACCTTACGGCCAAGTGCCACCCGCGCACTGGGAAGCCCCTAAGCGGTGACACCCACGCGGCCAGCCCGGGGGCAGCTGCGTTTTCCATAGATTGAGGCCCCCCCCCGCAGTTTCTGCGAAGTCATTGCAGTCTCGGGTCCTTCGCCTCCTCATCCGTCTCCCTTGCTCTGCCTGGTCATGCTGCGGCACAGAGCCGCGACAACACATATGGATGCATATATGTATGGGTTTGACAGCCTTCGCTCGAACGCAGCAAGCCGCTTCGCCACCCATACGATCGACAACCTCCCCAGGAAGAACACAGCATAAGACATGCGTACGTGGCGCCTCCCTTGCTGGTGGCATCATGTTGAAACCAGCCAGGCCCCAGAGGAGGAGGAGGAGGAGGAGGAGGAGGAGGAGGAGGGCCAGTGGAAACCCAATAGTCATCAACGATGTTAGAATTAACCCTCCCTCCAAGCTCCCTCTTTATAGGCCCCTACATCGATTCATTTCCATTGAGGGGACTGCCTCGTTGGAAGACAACAATTAAAAAAACTTGAAGCGTGGCAAAACATTGTTCTCAGGATTTCAACGCCACGTATCAGCCTGATTGCTGCGTCTCGACGATCCAGAATCGTGCCATAACTCCATGTCTTGATTTCAGCACAGCGAATCAACATCACTGTTGCGCCCGCATAATCCTAAATCCTTCCAACACGCCAGTTCTGGTACGCTGATCATGAGAATCCGTGAATCCCTTTCCAAATTTTACAGCGAATGTGCGCGGCGCTGGCGCGATAGTCACATTTTGAAACGGAGCCGCCCTCAACCCGTGGAAATATCAACATAAAACATATCCCGGCAAAGCAATCTAACAGCGATGTGTAGGAGCATATTTGGAATCATTCCCCTTAAGATTCAGATGATAATCCAGTTGTCGAGTTCTGCTGTTCTCGCAGTCGTAGTCGCATTCGCGATGCCAGTCGCAGTGGCAACGGCAGTCGCAGTCACAGCCTCAGCCTCAGCCTGCCTTCAGCCTCAGCCTCAGCCTGCCTCAGCCACAGCCTGCCTCAGCCTCAGCCTCAGCCTGCTTCAGCCTCAGCATCAGTTTGCCTTCAGCCTCGGCCTCAGCCTCAGCCTGCCTCAGCCTCAGCCTGCATCAGCCTCAGCCTCAGCCTCAGCCTGCCTCAGCCTCAGCCTGCCTCAGCCTCAGCCTCAGCCTGCCTCTGCCTCAGCCTCAGCCTGCTTCAGCCTCAGCCTCAGTCTGCCGTCGGCATCAGCCTCAGCCTCAGCCTCAGCTTGCCTCCGCATCTGCCTGCCTCCGCATCAGCCTCAGCCTCAGCCTGCCTCAGCCTCAGCCTCAGCCTCAGCCTCAGCCTGCCTCAGCCTCAGCCTCAGCCTGCCTTCAGCCTCGGCCTCAGCCTCAGCCTGCCTCAGCCTCAGCGTGCATCAGCCTCAGCCTCAGCCTCAGCCTGCCTCAGCCTCAGCCTCAGCCTCAGCCTGCTTCAGCCTCAGCATCAGCCTGCCTTCAGCCTCGGCCTCAGCCTCCGCCTGCCTCAGCCTCAGCCTGCATGAGCCTCAGCCTCAGCCTCAGCCTGCCTCAGCATCAGCCTGCCTCAGCCTCAGCCTCAGCCTGCCTCAGCCTCAGCCTCAGCCTCAGCTTGCAGCCTCAGCCTCAGTCTGCCTTCAGCCTCGGCCTCAGCCTCAGCCTGCCTCAGCCTCAGCCTGCATCAGCCTCAGCCTCAGCCTCAGCCTGCCTCAGCATCAGCCTGCCTCAGCCTCAGCCTCAGCCTGCCTCAGCCTCAGCCTCAGCCTGCTTCAGCCTCAGCCTCAGTCTGCCTTCAGCCTCGGCCTCAGCCTCAGCCTGCCTCAGCCTCCTCAGCCTCAGCCTCAGCCTGCAGCAGCCTCAGCCTCAGCCTCAGCCTCAGCCTCAGCCTGCCTCAGCCTCAGCCTCAGCCTGCCTCAGCCTCAGCCTCAGCCTGCTTCAGCCTCAGCCTCAGTCTGCCTTCAGCCTCGGCCTCAGCCTCAGCCTGCCTCAGCCTCAGCCTGCATCAGCCTCAGCCTCAGCCTCAGCCTCAGCCTCAGCCTCAGCATCAGCCTGCCTCAGCCTCAGCCTCAGCCTGCCTCAGCCTCAGCCTCAGCCTGCTTCAGCCTCAGCCTCAGTCTGCCTTCAGCCTCGGCCTCAGCCTCAGCCTCAGCCTGCAGCCTCAGCCTCAGCCTCAGCCTGCCTCAGCCTCAGCCTGCCTCAGCCTCAGCCTCAGCCTGCCTCAGCCTCAGCGCCGCCTCAGCCTCAGCCTGCCTCAGCCTCGGCCTCAGCCTCAGCCTGCCTCAGCCTCAGCCTGCCTCAGCCTCAGGCTGCATCAGCCTCAGCCTCAGCCTCAGCCTGCCTCAGCATCAGCCTGCCTCAGCCTCAGCCTCAGCCTGCCTCAGCCTCGGCCTCAGCTTGCTTCAGCCTCAGCCTCAGTTTGCCTTCAGCCTCGGCTTCAGTCTCAGCCTGCCTCAGCCTCAGCCTGCCTCAGCCTCAGCATCAGCCTGCCTCAGCATTCAACATGTGGCCCGGGAATGGAGTTCTGGGAACTCGAAGAACACGAAGTGGCCTACAGGTGGCTCCGGGCATTCAAAATCATGCCCAGCAATGGAGTTTTTGAATCTCGAAGACCGCGAAGTGGCCTACAGTTGGCTCCGGGCATTCAAAATCATGCCCAGGAATGGAGTTCTGGGAACTCGAAGAACACGAAGTGGCCTACAGTTGGCTCCGGGCATTCAAAATCATGCCCAGGAATGGAGTTCTCGGAACTCGAAGACCACGAAGTGCGTTACTGTTTGCTAAAAAAGGAGTCCCCGGCATCCTCCCCCGGATCGCGCCCAGACCCCTCTGGGGCGTCATGATGCTCTCTGTTGACCCTACTAGAAACCTATCAGTCTTCGCTGTTAGGTAAAAACGAATGTGCGCGGCGCTAAGGCGAGAGCCACATTTTGAAACGGAATCGCCCTCAATCCGTGAAGCTCTTGCAAATTCTAGAGCGAATGTGCGTGGCACTACAGCGAGAACCACATTTTGAAAACAACCCGCCCTCAATCTGTGAAACTCTGGCAAATGTTTAAATCGAATATGCGCGGCGCTAAGGCGAGAGCCACATTTTGAAAACCGCCCGCCCTCCATATGTGAAGCTGTTGTCACTTATTAAGCTTCAGAGTCATAAATGGTGAGGAAGTCTCTGGCGAAACGCCCGCCCCGCCCTAAAAACTGGCCTCGGGGTGCGACATGGAAGAGTAGTTGTCTATAAGAAGAAGGAATGAAGGAGGAGGAGGAGGACGAGGAGGAGGAGAAAGAGGGAGCGAGGAGGTGGAAAGGGAGGATGACGAGGAGGAGGATGAGGAGGAGGAGGAGGAGGAGGAGGAGGAGGAGGAGGAGGAGGAGGAGGAGGAGGAGGAGAGGGAGGAGGAAGGAGGAAGAAGGAAGGAGAAGGGCGACGAAGGAAGGAGGAAGGAGGAAGGAGGACGGAGGACGGAGGAAGGAGGAGGAGGAGGAGGAGGAGGAGGAGTTAGAGGATGAGGATGCGGTGGAGAAGGAGAAGGATGAGGAGGCCCTAAGGTGTGTCAACATGCGGCACCGTGGACCATACCACACTCAGAGCCCTTTGCCCCGTCTCCCTGCGGCATCTCTCTGGCCGGGCCGCTCCACGAGGGATTTCGTTGCTGAAATTGGGCGGGGAAGCGCCCGTTTCAGTAGAATTGCGACGCCCGGGTCTCGTGAGGCAGGAGGCGGGGGAGGAGGGGTCTTTTTGTCTTGGCCGCCCCCCCGTCTCCCTGCGCGGCGGAAGAAGGAGGGAGAGGAGGAGGATGAGGAGGAGCAGGAGGACGAGGACGAGGACGAGGGCGAGGACGAGGACGAGGACGAGGAGGAGGAGGAGGAGGAGGACGAGGACGAGGAGGAGGAGGAGGAGGAGGACGAAGACGAGGACGAGGAGGAGAAGGAGGAGGAGGAGGCGGAGGAGGCGGAGGAGGCGGAGAAGGGAAGGGAGGAGGACAGGGAGGTGAGGGAGCCGCCCCTTCTGTGCGCCCGCGAGAGGAAAGCGCAGACCCGCCTGGGGATGCGCCACTTCCTGGGGCAGACGCTGGTGGCCCCCCTGGGCGAGGCCCGCTGGACCTTTCGCATAACGAGCGAGGGTTTGGAGTGGGCTCGATGCGTCGTCCCCATGGCGCTCCCCCCTGGGTTTGTCCCCCCAGATGTGGTCGGAGTAGACGGGGTCGGAGGATCGTGTCGCATCGCCGATACATCGGCGATGCATCGCCAATGCGGCTCGATGTGGGGACCGGTTATCTTCACGTCGACGTCGCCGATGCATCGCCGACGTCGACGCATCTCCGGTGCATCACGAGTGCATCAACGATGCATCGCCGATGCATCGCCGATGTATCGGCGTTGTTGCGCGAGCCTCCGACCCCATCTACGTGGACCCCATCTATCGGGCCGGACGAAAGGGGGGGATAGGGAAAGGGGGGGGTACGAAATGTGCTGCGTGCAGCTGGTTTCGGCCCCGCCGCCGGGCCCATTCCTCGATACATAGCCTCCTCCGGCGCCAGGAGGCACTGGGAAAATCGGTTACGTGAGCTGATTCTCAAACCTCCCCTTTGCTATCCCCTCCCTTTCGCCCGGCCCGAATCTAAAGCCTCCAGCTCCCCGCTGCGGTTGGGCGCAACAAAGGCCGGATGTTGTTGCTTCGAGCGATCTCCATCCAAGGACGCGAGACGGGGTGCCCACGGAGCACCAGCACACTCGTGGCCTGGTGGACACCGCGTGCAGGGTATATAGGCGGTCGGGATCCCTTGCCTTTAATCTAGTAGCCCCAACTTTTGGTGGGTGGGGAAAATGGACGTTGTTCCTCAACACTCTTTATCAATATGCATTTCAACCGTAATCAAAAACTCCCCTCGGAATCCCTTCTGGGAGGCTTGTTCCTAAACTCCTCACGATCATTAAAAATGTGGTGCGGCGCACATCGCCATGCGAAGCTAATTCCTAAACTCGCACGAGCCTCCATTTAAAATGTGGCGCGGGCCACATCCCGCGCGCGCGGCCGAAGGGGGCGAATTCCTTGCCCGTCGCGATCCTCCATTAAAACTGTCGCGCGGGGCACATCCCACCCGCGCGGCTGAGTACCCCCCTGGCCCCGCCTCTTGGGAAGTGAACCCTAACCCCCTCACGATCACCCATTAAAAACGTGGTGCGGCGCACATCGCCGTGCGAAGCGAATCCCTAAACTCGCGCGATGCTCAATTAGAATTGTGGCGCGGGCTACATCCCGCGCGCGCTGCCGAAGGGAGCGAACTCCTTGCCCCCTCGCGATCCTCCATCAAAAATGTAGCGCGGAGCATATCTCACCCGCGCGGATGAGTACTCCCCGCATCCCGCCGCGCGCTCATGTGCGGTTTCTCCTGCCTGTTGTTCCTCCCGCGTGCTCCGCGCTGCTCCTTCTTGCTCCTCGCTGATCCACTCGGCCTTCCCCGATGGCTTGCATGCGCCAGAGTGTGTGTCTTGATCTGTAATGGGTTTCTAGGGGGGGTGGGATGTGGGCACGGTGCCAGTGTGTGACACGCCCAGTATGTTGACATGTTCGCGCTCTTGTTGACCCTAAACCCTAAACCCTAAACCGTATAGAGGCCGCCGACTGTTTTGTTACTGAAACCTTCGATCAGTTCGAGGGTGCCGAGCTAGTGTGCGCGAGTCGTGCCAAAGAGTTTTAATGAGTCTCTCAGCGGTGGGAGCCCCATTCGTGAGGAGTTTCAAGCTCACGAAAATGGGGCGGACTGATTCAGAATTTGAGTTCATTCAGTGATGTATACTCGGTATGAGCTTGAACTCGTTTCGGGTTTGTTTCACGGTGCTTATCCGTAGGCGCCCTCTTTGGCCCAAAGCGACTCGTGGAATGTGTGTAAAACGGACCCTCTCACCATCTGTCTTGCCACTCTCTGATGTTCCGCACGTCAGGAGGGGGAGGGAAGGACCAGTGAGGTGAATGAGGGAGAAGGGAGGAGGAGGGAGGAAGGAGGCGGGAGGAGGAAGGGGGAGCAAAAAGAGGGATCTGGTTGAGAGAGGGAGGAGCAAGGAGGAGGAGGAGGACAGAGGAGAGAGGAGGTGGGAGTTTGTTGTTTGACTCGATGCGGGCATGCACGCATGGATCTGAAGGCAGATCCTGCGAGCGAGGCGCGCACAATAGCCAGGCGCACGTGCGCGTGGCGGGCCTCGCCTTGACCCGTGGGATCGACCGGGCAAGCAGCGCTGGGCCTGGAGGAGAGGCGGGGAATGGCGAGAGACCGTTTTTCAACCAGTGGTGAAGCGTCCTGGCTCCGCCTACCAAAGGATGTTGTGAGAACTTTTGGCGGTTACCACGACATGTTCTTAGAACATGTCTGGCTGGGACTGTTTCTTGTTTTAACACATGATGCTTGCGTTCTGAGAACATAGCTTTGGTTCTTAGAACATGTTGGGGTTCTACGATGCATTCGTGGTAGGCCTATGGGAATACTGGGACGGTCGGTCCCTGCCCAAGACAAACTGGGTCATCGGGCCCCCCCGCCCCCCCCCCCCCCGGATAACCTGACGTTGCCTCTTGTGCAGGTCCGAAGGGGTGTGAACATTTCCGGCGCGCGCAGGCACACCTGGGGTTGGTTTGGCGCCAACATGTTGGCTTGTCGGCCAGCGCTTCCCCCCTCAGCCCACACTGGATAACCTGGGTTACCGCCGAAAGAGTAACGACGATCTCCAACGGCAGAGGAGGACGAAAAGGGAAGAGGAAACGCGAGGACCGGGAGCCAAACTCACGAGAAGGGGGCATCAGCCGACATCTCAGTTCGTGTTGCCCGTGCACCCCTGCGGGCCGAGACGGCAGCTGTTGCCGCGTCTCCGGGTGGAGACGGGGAACGATGATCCGATTCGATTCGTAGCTGGAGGAGGTGCATATGAGTTAACTCGACGGTGCGAACCCGCTGCTGTGAACCTATCTCGGGTGGGATATATAGAGCGTGAGAGAGAAAGTGAAACAAAAAAAGAGAGAGACGAAAAAATAGAGAGGGAGAGACACGCAGACCCCGCTGCGCCGACCCTGGTACTGCGGGCCAGCTGCGCGGACCCAGGAGGGCCAGCTACGTGGACCCTGTGGAATGAGCCCATGGTGCAATGAGGGAGCTGAGCTTTCCACTACGGCAAAGGACGGCCGCCTTCTTGTCCCCAGCGCCCTAATTGGAGCTCCGTGGCAGTAGACCCTCCGCAAGAGGTGGCGCTGGCACTCGGATGCGGTAACTACCATGCCCCTGCGAAAGGGGAGGAGGAGGGACGGAGACAGGGACGGAGGGACGGAGGGACGGAGGGAGGGAGGGACGGAGGGAGGGAGGGAGGGAGGGAGGGAGGGAGGGAGGGACGGAGGGAGGGAGGGAGGGATGGAGGGAGGGAGGAGGAGGAGGAGGAGGAGGAGGAGAAGGAAGAGCAGCAGGCGGAGGAGGGAAGAGGAGGATGAGGAGGAGGAGGAGGAGGAGGAGGAGGGAGAGTGAGGACGACAGAGTTGGAGGAGGAGGAGGAGGAGGAGGAGGAGGAGGGAGGAGGGAGGAGGGAGGCAGCTGGAGGATAGCGGCGGGGCGCCGCGGCCTGGAGCCCGCAGCTGGCGGCGCCAGGCCCTCTTCGAGTGCCAGCGCTTCAAGTCCAAGGAGAACGAGGCCGCCGCGCGGGCGCGGCCTCGGCCTGGGGCCCCCTCGAGTCGTGCAAGACTCTGGGCGGGCGGGTTTCGAGCTCAGGGCGGAAAGCTGTTTGATGATCTCGTCGGTCCCGGAGGTTTTCTGGCCTCGGGATGCTTTTCGGCGGCTGCGCCTCGTCGAGGGCGTCCCGGGGGTGTCCGGATCGTCCCGAGTAGCCACCAGAGGCCCGAGTTCTAGTTCGAAAATTCACACATCCCAGGCCCCAGGACCGTCAATCGACGACTCGCGGGCCAAAAAATACAGGTATTGGGGAATGGGTCGAGACCTGTGGGGGTCGACGTTGTGAGAAAGCGTAACGTCGGGGTCTGTGTCCGAGCTGGGGGGCCATGGCACCAGCCGTCGTTGTCGTCAACGTCGTCGAAGTCGACGTCGATGTCGACGTCGACGGGCTTCCCGGTATCTCCGACGACACGATTTTTCCACCGGCGTTTTATTCCTCGACCTCGGACCTCGAGGGCGGTTTTCAGGCCCCGGGATCATCAGACATTGATTCAGGGCGAAGTACAGTGGGGGCGCGCATCAAGAAGCCATATGCTTGTCGTCAGGGTATCCTGGGTTTTTGTCGCTACTCGCGCTGCGCGGAGGCTTCCCGTTGCAGTTGAAGGTGCTGCTGCGTTCAGCGTGCTCTGGGCTCCCCCCACTTGCACCTCGCGCACGAGTTCTCAGGGTTGGGTTTCTTGCGAGGGTTTCTTGCGGCCGCGCCCGCACTGTATGGTCCCTGGGATGCGGTCGGGACCTCTGGCGCCGCGGATTGAAAAATAATCCGCGGATGGCAGGGTCGTCGTCCGGCCCGCGGCCTGAACACGCAGCTTTCCCCTCCCATCCTATCGATCCGCGTGCGCACGGTGACCAGACTTTGCTTCACCGGACCTCGGCTCTGTTATGCGTCTTTGCTGGCCACCAGCTCGCAGCCGACGGGTGCGACGGGGCGCAGCAGCGGAGGAGGAGGAGGAGGAGGAGGAGGAGGAGGAAATATTGATTTGGGACGCGCTGACCCAGGTCACCGCCACGTGCCCGAGTCATCAAGGCCTGTGCCACGAACCCTGGCCAACCACATAGTCACGGTCAGGCGGGAAGTGGGGGACAGACGGCCCCGCACAGCTCCCCACCCCAGGTCAGCCAGATGCGATCATTGGGGATTCGCCGCCCCCGCGTTCTCTGGCGGACCTCCACTAACTGCTTCCGCCCCAAGTGAGGAGGAGGAGAGAAGGTTCCTCTTGGCAAGGCCGGCTGTGGAGGCAACTTTCTTGGGAAATGTCCGTTTTGGCTTCGGAAGGGGTTCGATTCTCTTTGGGCTCTTCCACTGGCTTTCCTTCGGCCCTGCTCGTGCACCTCAGCACCTCGCCGCCACTGAGGCTCAAGAGGGGCCTCGCTCCATGTCGAGGGGCACTCCTGGCATCCCTTTGGCCGCCCGCCAGGGTCTCCGAATCTGCCCGTGGCATTATGGATGCCCTGTGCAGGGTCCTCGCGTCGGGCCGTGGTGCGACTCGTGGGTCAGAGGAGGCTGAGGAGTTCTCTGTAAGGAAAATATGGAGGGGAGGAGGGAGAGGAGGAGGATGAGGAGGAGGAGGAGGAGGATGAGGTAAAGCTCGAGGAGGAGGAGAAGGAGGAGGAGGAGGTTTCCCTAACGAATATGGGGGCAGGGAGGAGGAGGAGGAGGAGGAATTCTTGACGCTTCGGGCAGGGGGGAGGGGTAAACCCCTTCCCGAAGGTGAAGAAGGGGGTTGGACGAGGAACCTCCCTATGCCACCTACGCCCAGAGGACTCGTGGGATTCTCTGTGGGAGCGGCACATCGGTCGCCCCGGTCGCCCCCCTTGTCGCTTGCCGCGGCCTGGGCGCCCCGCCCCCCCCCCCCCCTTGCGCGCACCGCCAAACTTCTCCACCCGGGCGAGTGGGACAATTTCTGAGGCACCAGAATGGGTTTTTCGACTGGCCGACTGGCCGATAGGCCGTGTCTCCGACTGGCCGATGCCGGACTGGGGAGTCGGAAAGTTCATCCCAGTGCCTCACACATTTTCCTGCTCACCTGGGCGAGTCCCTCCTCGGGCTTGTCGTAATGGCGGGGCGATCTTATGGGGGAGACAGGGTTGGACGAAGGGTTCTCCGCGGGGGCGGCGTTGTTGACTGGGCTTGCTCGTGTTTCCGGCCGCGGCGGAGGGACCGAGCTTTGGACCGAGCTTTCGGTTGCAGCGGGCTCGGGCGTGCGGCGGGGGCTTCCTACGGAGAAGCAGTGCTCTGGGAGGACGCGATGGTGGTGAGGATTATGGGAATGATAAGCATGTTGAGTATAATGAAAATGATGATGACGATAGAACGATGCGGATGATGATAATGATACTGATGCTGATGATGATGATGATGCTGATGATGCTGATGCTGATGATGATATGATGATGATGATGATGATGATGATGTTGATGATGATGATGATGATGATGATGATGATGATGATGATGATGATGATGATGATGATGATGATGATGATGATGATGATGATGATGATGATGATGATGATGATGATGATGATGATGATGATGATGATGATGATGATGATGATGATGATGATGATGATGATGATGATGATGATGATGATGATGATGATGATGATGATGATGATGATGATGGTGGTGGTGATGATAATGATGATGTCGGTGATGATGATGATGATGATGATGATCATCATCATGATGCTGATGTTGTTGATGCTGATGATGATGTTGATGCTGATGTTGATGCTGATGATAACGATAAAATGATGCGGATAATGATGATGTTGATGCTGATGCTGGTGCTGGTGCTGATGCTGGTGATGATGACGACACTGACGATGATGATGAGGAGGAGGAGGCTAATGATGATCATGACGGCGAGGCCGATGATGGACATGATGATGATGGTGGTGATAATGTTGATGATGTGTATGATGAAACTGATGACGATGATGATTATGTTGCTGATGATGATGATCTTGATGATGATGCTGCTGATGATGACGAAGGGTATGAGGATGAGATAATGGGGATGGTGTTGGTGATGATGATGCTGATGCTGACTATGCTGATGATGGTGATGCTGATTATGTTGATGATGACGCTGGTGACGAGGATCCGGATGCTGATGGTGATACTGTTGGTGATGCTGATGTTGTTGTTGTTGGTGGTGATGAATACAAAGACAATGATGATGCTGCTGATGATGATGGTGATGATGATGATGATGATGTTGATGATGATGATGATGCTGTTGTTGTTGATGGTGATGATGTTGCTGCTGCTGATGATGCTGATGCTGATGCTGACGATGATGATGCTGCTGATGATGATGCTGCTGATGACGATGCTGATGATGATGATGATGATGATGCTGCTGATGATGATGACGTCGCTGGTGATGAGGATGTGGAAAATGAGGATGATGAGGATGTCGAGGATCATATTATCGATGATGCTGATGAGGATGACTAGCTCTGCGTTTGATCGGGAGTCTTTGCCTATCGAAGGTGGGGAGTTCGCCGTGTCCGTGGGATGACGACAATGTGATAAATGTGGGGTGACGATGGGGATGATGGGGTTGTCATGCACTTTCCTCGTCTTCACGAAAACTGCGACGCCTCTCAGACCTCTCGTATCGGAAGCACTGCCACCATTCCCTGATGGAGAGTCCTGCTTTCAGCACATTCGGGAACGTCGGGCACATTCCTCGGAAATGGTCCCTGGATCCGAGGCGGTATCCGCAACCACCGCCTGGAGACCATTTCTTTATTGCTTGGGGCATGACGGGCGTCATGGCCCGCGCTCCCCCCCCCTATGACGTAACGCTCCTCCCTCCAGTGCGCTCCGGGCACTGCCGCCGTGCGCGCTGGGATCCGCGTAGGTGTCCGCGTAAGAATCCGCATAGGAGTCTGGTCCGCAGTCGTCGTCGTCGTCGTCGTCGTCGCTCGTGGCTCGTCGCTCATTGTCGTCGTGCGCACGGACGCGGCTGGAGCCTGTTATTTGTTCCGGGCCGATCGCGGCAATCATCAGAGGGGGTGTGGAGGGGGTCGATGACATCCTGTTTCGCGCCGGCGCCGTCTGGGAATGCCTACGAATGGCGCAGGACGGGTAGCACCAGTATGTCGGTGGCGATCTGCACCACAACGCCTGTGCACACCACAGTGCCTGCGTGCACCACAGCGCCTGTGTACACCACGCCGCCTATGTACACCACGGCAGCCTCGTGCAACACAGCGTCAGTTTTGTGCCGTGCTCGCGGGCACAACAGCGGTTGTGTACACCGCAGCGCCTGCGTACACCACATCAGCCGTGTGCAACACAGCACCAGTGTACACCATAATGCCTGCGTGCATTGCAGTGCCTGTGTACACCACGGCGCCTGTGTGCACCACAGCAGCCGTGCGCAACACAGCGCCACACTTGCATATCGAATGTGGGTAGGAATCCGTATGACAAAGTGGAGCGCTTGTGGATCCCACAGAAATCAATACAATGGAATCCTTATGGACAAAGGAGCGCCGCTGGAATCTACGAGTTCTCCCGAGTCCGCCCGCATCACCCTAACTTCTCCCGTCTGCGCCCAGGAGGCTCCAGCTAAATTGGCCGTGCGGGAACCAAGTGGACCGATTCAATAGACCATTATGCGGTGCACTGCGCGCTGAATTGCGCACGTGCGCTGTAGCGCCACCCCGCACGACAGGGGGTCAGGAGGAGGAAAAGGAGGAGGAGGAGGAGGAGGAGGACGAAGAGGAGGAGGAGGAGGAAAAGGAGGAGGTGGAGGTGGAGGTGGAGGTGGAGGAGGAGGGAAGAGGGAAAAACATCGCATTCGATTATCAGTACTCTCCTGCACGCAGGCACTGGTGTACAGTCGCGCTGCGTTGCACGCGGATGCTGTGGTGTAGACAGGCGCTGTGGCGTGCACAGGCGCTGCGGTGCACGCAAGCACTGTGGTGTACACAGGCGCTCTGTTGCACATGGTTGCTGCGGTGTACACATGTACACCGGCGCTGTAGTGTACCCAAGCACTGTGGTGTACACAGGCGTTGTGTTGCACACGGTTCCTGCGGTGTACGCAGGAATTGTGGTGTTCTTGCGCGTTTTGGTGCACGCGAGCGATGTGTACAAAGGCGCAGTGGGGCATATCGCCACCTACATTTTGCTCGCGTCGTCCTCGTCGTCGTCGTCGTCGTCGCTCGTCGCGCGTCTTGCGCGCGGGCGCGGCTGTGGTGCCGGAGCCACACGGCCGGGGGGGGGCGTTACGTCATACGCCCCCCCGCCCCCCCCCCGCATGACGCCCGTCATCGCCGAACAGAAAGACACGCTCTCCTGGGGGGATCGACCTACGGGGGCCACGGCAGGCAGTGGCAGTGGACCTGGATACATTCGAGCCCCCCGGGGCCCAGACATGTCCATATCCACCGCCCGCTGGGGTCACAGGATGTCGGTATCCCTGGCGGTGGACATGGATGCATCTCCGCCCAGCCTTGCAGGTGCGGCGCGGGGTTGCCGCTGCGAGTGCCGGAGCCAATTTCGGGAGGAGCTCCCACGTGAGAGCGCCAGCACGGAGCTCGCTCGGCGCGTCCGGCGTGCTCCCCAGGCATGCCCCCCTGGAGGCGCGGCATGCGGCCTCTGTTTCGCGCGCTGGGGGTGTGGATGGCGTCAGTTTCACTGAGCCGGCGTCACCCCAACATACTTCTACTATATGTGCGTCGCCCCCCCAGGGGCGACGCGCGCACCGAGAAATCTTATAGTATATGCGTTGTGGTGGGCGCTTTCTGGCCGCACCGCTCGGGAAACGATGTACTACAAGATGGGTATACTATATGGTCGGTTCGGACGCGCGCCTCCAAGGATGACATATAGTACTTGTATGTCTCTGTGCGTCCCATTGAGGACGAGAAGGAGGATTCTGATGGTGGTGATGGTGGCATCATCGTCCTGGTCCTGCATGTTTCTCGCCGCCTTGGGGCTCCAGGACCCTCCCTGGGCCCGGAGACCGTCGAAGATCGGCCAGGGACAGAAGAGCCAGTTCCAAGGACAGCCGCGAAGTCCAGGAGCGGGCTCCACCAGGCGCCCCTCGGGGGCAACGTGGGGGGGGGGGGGATAGGCTCCGGGGGGATGCGCCGACGGGGGCCCAGTGCCGACGTTTACCCCCTCCCACCCCCGGAGCCAGTCTCCCCCCCCAAGTGATTCTCGTGCTCTGGGCTTGGAGTCGTGGCACGACTCGGGTCTCCGGCGGCCGTTTGGGGAGGAGGAGGAGGAGGAGGAGGAGGAGGAGGAGGAGGAGGAGGGGAGGAGGAGGAGGAGGAGGAAAGATCGGGGCACCCGCGGGCGCTCCTCGGCGCGGCGCAGCTGCCGGCGAGCATCCCCAGGCGTGAGAGCCGCCGAGAACCACATCAGACCTCCGACGTCATGGGTTTCCGCGCGCGCGGCCCCACGAAGTTCAGGAGGGAACAAGAACACACAGACATCATACATCGTCGATTCCGAAGGAAAGATGGGGAAATATGGGAAGTGGGGGGGAAGGCAAGAACCCGGAAAATATGGGAAAATGTGGGGAATGCGGTGATTTGTGTATATTTGTTTGTGTGTCCCAGGGTCCCTTCAGAAGTCCCGTCTCTTCCCTCGGGGTCAGTTCTTCTGAGCCGTCTCTTGACAGCCCCAGGGCCCAGCGAGAGCCAGGAGGCCGAGTCAAGTCGAGTCAAGTCACCCCGCTCGCACGGTGGCGGGCCCATCTAGGGCGCGAGGGACAAAACAAATGCCAGTCACTATTCCTGCCTGGTGCGCAAAGAAGCAACGTCTCTGCTCACGCCGACGTGCGGAAGTCCAGGAAAAGTCTCCACCTCTCGGGTCTCCCGAGACGCAGGTCTGACGGCGGACACGCCCGAACATCTCGAGCCTCGAACACCCGAACTGGGCCGGGCTCCACAGCGACCCCCCCCCCGCGCTGGCCGGTGCCGCGCGGAGGGCGGGGCCGTCGCGCGGCAGAGGCGGTGTCCACGGCGGAGGGGGAGATGGCGTTCGTGGCGATGTACCTGCGGATGTACTCCAAGGATCGCCGGCCTCGGGCGAGGGTGAAGTCGGGCATGTCCCTTTTATCAGGAGAGGAGAATTCCAGGGAAAATCAGAAAATAGTCCCGGGACAATTTTTCATATATATATATATATTTGAATATTTGGGGATGCTTCTTGACTATTTGTCCCTCTTATTAGGAGAGGGAAATCCAGGAAAAATCAGAAAATGGTCCCGGGAGGATTTTTCATATATTTTGGGATGCTGCTTGACTATTTGCCACTCTTCGTCCAGAATCCGCCTGCAGGGGGGCAGGCCCGACCTCGGGCGAGGGTCCGGGGCCCCCCGCGCGGTGCGGTCGCCACGTCGCGCGGTGAGCCTCCGTGGGGGACTGCGAGGTCGCCGCACGGCGCTGTGAGGCTCCGGCCGTTCTCCGCGGACGTCTCGCGCGGCATGCGGTAGGTTTGCGTCGTGTCGACCAGCGGCGACCCCAGCGCGGGCGTTCAAGGTTGAACACCGCCGGCGACCCAGAATCGATCGATGTTGAACGATCGGACCTTGCGGCAGCGGCCGATCGTTCAAGGTTGAACGATCCCTGCGGTGTCAAAAACCAACGCTGGGGTCGGCACGACACGAACCTGCCGTATGGGCCTCTCCGGGGACTCCTACGACGAAGTCGGGCGTGTCCCTCTACAGGAGGAACAGATACAAAACGTAGTCACAGCACTGTCTGGGGACGATGGTTCTATCATTCTCTGGACTATCTCCAAGTATTTTTGAGAGTACGTTTTCAATTTTCGCCCCAACTCCGCCTGTAGGAAACATGCGGTGAGGTCCTGGGGTGCGCAGGTCCCCGCGCGGCTTGTCACCGCGCGGTCGTGGGACCCCCCAGGGGGGGGGGGGCGGGGGCTGCCTCTGTCGAGGACGAGGGGGGTGGTGGCAGGGGCAGGGCCCTCTCCGTCTCGTTCCTCTCCTGTGTCGCTCGGAAGAGGAGCAGCTGCACAGACATCAACTATTGGAGCTCCGTGCGGATGTCTTGGATCTGCACTTGGTTGGGCCCCTCTGGCGGCGCCTTCAGCGCCGATCCGAGTCATACGTGCGGAGCTCCGACACTTTCTGTTTCTGCTGTTATTTGTGTTCTCGTTCGTGTTATGTTTTGTCTTCTTGTTATTTCTACTTCTTCTCTTTCTTCGTATTATGTTGCTTCTTGTCCTTCTTCTTTCCCTTCCTCGTCTTCTCCTGGATTCGCCTCCCCCGCCTTCCTTTTCCCTCGTCTCCACACCGTCCCCTTATATCTCCCCGGTTCCCCTCCATGGTGCCCATTACCCCCTCCTGCCCTTCCCAGGAAGGGGAAGACTGGGAGTGTAGTGGGTGGGGGAGGGTACAGAGGAGCAAGTCAGAGAGGTTCAATAGTAATATGAAGAGCAGGGTTGGACGGGGGATGTGGAGGAGACGGATGGTGATGAGGAGGACGAGCAGGAAGAGGAGAAGGAGGAGCAGAAGGTGGACGACGACGACGACTTCTCCTCCGTCCGGGAAAGTCGTCAGGTGATGGCCCTCCAGGGGGCCTCCGAGCCACGCTCACAGGCCTGGCTCTCTTTGAAGCGGCGCGGGAGCGGTCGGGAGGAACGGGATGGGGAAAAGTCGTGTCGAAATGGAGGGATAGGTACAGGAAGGGTCGACATCTGCTGTGCGCAACTGGTTTCGGCTCCGCCGAGAGTCAGATACGTGAGCTGACTCGCGACCCCCCCAATCCGGCCGACCCGAATATCGTAGCCGTTTTGGCTCAAGCACTTTTCAAGGGTCCTGCCAGAGAACCCACCCCGTCGCTATCTGAGCGACCGCCAGCGCGCCCGACACCGAAGCCCACGGGACACCAGGCATGGCCGCCAACTCAGGCACTATCCCCGCCGCGCCTGATCAGCACACGATGGTTGTCGCCGCGGGCACAGTCTGGAAGAACGTGAGCAGCAACAACATCGAATGCCGGACCGAGCCAGACATGGAGAAGAAGGCGGGCAAGACGGTCAAGGCGGGGGAGACGATCGTTGGCGTCATGGAGGTGGACTGGCTGAAAACCGAAGACGGCTTGTTCCTCCCTGCGAAACACCCGGTGACGGGGTCTGCTCTGTTCGAGTTGGCCCCGCCGCCTGCCCCGCCCAGCTGGAAGAACGTGAGCGGCCGCAACATCGAGTACCGGACCGAGCCAGACATGGGGAAGAAGGCAGGCATGACGATCTCACCTGGGCATGTGGTGGCTGGCGTGCTTGAGAACGGGTGGTTGAAGACCACCGACGGCCTGTACCTCCCGGCGACGCACCCGACGACGGGCGCTGGGCTTCTCGCCCCCGCCCAGCCATCGTCCGTGGCTGTGGCCGGCGGCGCAGAGCCACCGGGGGCCCCGCCCGGCGGCGCCTGGACGGAAGCGAAATACATAGGCCCAGTGACGCTCTGCATATATTGCTTCTGCTTCTGGCCCATCGTTATATGCCCGATCGACACGAAGCAGGTCTACAGGGCCCCAGACGGCAAGATGTACAACCCCAGCGGCAAAGAGTTCGACCGATGCCTTGGGGGGGAATGAGCCTGCCCCGCTGTTTTTTCCCAGCCAGGTGCAGCTCAAGACTCAGGACCCGCCAGTTTGCCTCCTGCTGTTCCTCCTCGAGCCGACGGTCGGGGAGCGCGTTGGCCGCGCCACCAGGTTGTCGGCGCGCGCCCCGCGTGCTCGGAGGAGCACGGCTTTGTGGTGCACAGTACCGCGAGGGCCGATCCTAATTTATCACAGGCTGTTTTTCTCAAGATTTTCACGTGCGGGCTCCTTGATACGTGCTTCATGCCGATTTCACAAGCAGCGTCTCCATGCTCGCTGTTTCCTTGGCGAGGGTGACGAGAGGAGAGAAGACGACACGCAGGAGCAGGAGTAGGAGGGCTCGCTTCCTTCTTTCTGTCCTCCGCTGAAGCATCGCCTGCTGGCGAGTGGCGCGTCGGCCGCTGTTCGCCCCTCCGACCTGCAAGCCGCAAGTCGGAGGCAAAGACGTAGCAAAACATGTGTGTTTTTCGCGGAGAGGAAAAACATCGCCCGACCCGAATAGGGACGGGGAGAAGGTGTTGGGGACAGAGGAGCTGTACGGAGGTCCTGGGGAGCGCTCGGGGCTCGTAGGGCTTGGAGGAGCGCTCAAAAAAAGATCAGGGCGCGGGGACTGGCGACGGTTCCCGTTTTCACACACATTCGAGCCATTCCGTCGCTCAATCGGGCGGAATCGACTTCATGTTTCGGGGGGCATCTACCCGATCCGTGCATCTGGTTCCCATGCGCCAGATCCACGGATCCGTATTTAGCCCATGTCATCGGGTCGCTCAGGAACGCCCACGGCATACACACTGTTTTGACTCGCAAGCCATGTGAGTCATTGAACTAATCATGAGTTCCCGCCATTGCCGTATCCTTGTATTGTTCCCCCTCCCTATGCGGATGTGTTTTGGCCGTCGTCTTCATCGTCGTTGTCGTCGTGTCGCTGTCGGCTTCGTCGTCGTCCCCAGCATTGCGCACCCCACCCCTACCACTGCCTCGTTTTTATTCGCCCGATGCGCCGTCGGCAGCTGGCGGCTATGTTGGGAGACGGAGAGATTTACGAGCATTCCCCAAGATCTTCGTCTTGCTTTCACCTATATAGCATAGCACTCAGCAGCGATTCCGCACTTGCCTCTCCTGGTCGTTTGGGCCTCCGAAGGCTTCTCGGCGGCGCGCCCAGGGGGGAAGGCAGAGGGGGCGGGTCTTCTCGGAGGACTCAGAAGGCCTGCAGCCCTCTGAGATTCTGCCTACGCCCTGCGAAGACGCAAACGGCTTCCCAGAAGTGGCTCTGAGAAGCCCCACCGCCTATGTCGGAGGGTGAAAGTGGGGGTCGGGCGCAGGGTCCCGGCAATGGTGTCTTTATGGGCCACGCATGGGCGATACATCCTTGATTGCTGTGTTCGGCGGGGGAATCAATTGCAGTTATTCTCTGGACTATCTCCAAGTATTTTTGAGAGTACGTTTTCAATTTTCGCCCCAACTCCGCCTGTAGGAAACATGCGGTGAGGTCCTGGGGTGCGCAGGTCCCCGCGCGGCTTGTCACCGCGCGGTCGTGGGACCCCCCAGGGGGGGGGGGGCGGGGGCTGCCTCTGTCGAGGACGAGGGGGGTGGTGGCAGGGGCAGGGCCCTCTCCGTCTCGTTCCTCTCCTGTGTCGCTCGGAAGAGGAGCAGCTGCACAGACATCAACTATTGGAGCTCCGTGCGGATGTCTTGGATCTGCACTTGGTTGGGCCCCTCTGGCGGCGCCTTCAGCGCCGATCCGAGTCATACGTGCGGAGCTCCGACACTTTCTGTTTCTGCTGTTATTTGTGTTCTCGTTCGTGTTATGTTTTGTCTTCTTTTTATTTCTACTTCTTCTCTTTCTTCGTATTATGTTGCTTCTTGTCCTTCTTCTTTCCCTTCCTCGTCTTCTCCTGGATTCGCCTCCCCCGCCTTCCTTTTCCCTCGTCTCCACACCGTCCCCTTATATCTCCCCGGTTCCCCTCCATGGTGCCCATTACCCCCTCCTGCCCTTCCCAGGAAGGGGAAGACTGGGAGTGTAGTGGGTGGGGGAGGGTACAGAGGAGCAAGTCAGAGAGGTTCAATAGTAATATGAAGAGCAGGGTTGGACGGGGGATGTGGAGGAGACGGATGGTGATGAGGAGGACGAGCAGGAAGAGGAGAAGGAGGAGCAGAAGGTGGACGACGACGACGACTTCTCCTCCGTCCGGGAAAGTCGTCAGGTGATGGCCCTCCAGGGGGCCTCCGAGCCACGCTCACAGGCCTGGCTCTCTTTGAAGCGGCGCGGGAGCGGTCGGGAGGAACGGGATGGGGAAAAGTCGTGTCGAAATGGAGGGATAGGTACAGGAAGGGTCGACATCTGCTGTGCGCAACTGGTTTCGGCCCCGCCGAGAGTCAGATACGTGAGCTGACTCGCGACCCCCCCAATCCGGCCGACCCTAATATCGTAGCCGTTTTGGCTCAAGCAC